TGCTCCTTTGGTATATTTCGGGGAACAACGTGGGATAAACCATAGATTTCTCTCAACGGTGTTGCCTTCCATTACCCAAGAAGCTAGTTTGGGAATTTCAGATCTAGGAGGATATTCATGTGAGTTTTAGCTGCTAGTATGTCAGTATCGAAAGTCTGCGGAAGTTAAAGAAAAGAGGAATGGAAGAGGCACGTTTATTTTGTGTATCGAAGGGGCGCATCGAAATATTACTACTGTGAGTAAAGGGACTCTGGTGTTGACTTCCTCATTATATATGTCGCTCGAGGAAGCGAAGGTATGTTACTTGAGATAGCACTGTAGTATTGGAACATGATATTGTTGTGGCCTGGGGCCCAGCCGAAAATACTAGATCAAAACAACCTAGTATAAATCCATAAAATTTATATTTCCATTCGAAAAAGCTGGGAGGCGTCGCGTGAATGTTTAAATCTGTAGAATAGCCGCGCTTGCCGGGAGTGAGCTCAGGGAGATATTTGTAGAGCAGACTTGCTAGTACTAGCTACAGAGGGCGAAGGGGGGACCTCTCGGTCTCGTTATTTCTGAAGGGGTTACGCTGAGAGAAGAGATTTTTCTATTTCTCTTTTTTTTGGGGGGGGGGGGGGGGCGGGGGGCGGGGGGTTCGGTCTCACTATTATTAGTAGGTAAACGGTCTTTAAAACATGTTCTAGATACCCCAAGGACAGGGGAAAAGTATCTTCTATAGTTTCTGGTGACCTGAAAGATGTCAAAATGGTATTCTCGGAGATGAGCGGGCAATATGACGGTAATCACCAAATGCGCTATTCTGCATTTAGTGATATGGACACCTGTTCTGTTGTCTTTATCAATTCAAATAGAAACTAGAACCAAGATTAGCATTCAGCGAATATGAGACCCCAAATTTGAGTTGTGAAAGGTAATGTCCCATCCTCCAGACTTTGTCGGACCTTGATAGTAGCCACTAATATCTCTACTATTGCGTAGAAAGGATAATCTGGTAGACTGGGTATAAACGCGGTCTACGTTCTTGGACCTCGGCATCCTCCGTGTAATGCTGGGTGCTGGCTTATTTTCAATTTTTTCCTGCAGGGCTAGAGATTGGATGGGTCTCTAGATTCGCTTTGTCACACCGGGAGTGTGGCGGTGGATGGGCGTATGCCTGGTGAGGCAGAAAGGCCAGCAAATGAGTTCATTGGTAAGTGCTCGTGAAACCCGAAGACCTTTAGAATGTCGCTAATGAGAAAGTATCGCCATTGGGAGCTCTGATATTGCTCTTGAGCGGGGAAGATCTGGGGGGGGTTTGTGTCCCTTTATCTATTGACGAAATCCACCTTGAAATGCGTTCACTGAGCAGAATCACACATGGATGTAATATGAGTTTGGTATCGGCATCTATATGATACTTTTCTCCAAGAACTCCCCAACCAAAGAAATGGTCATCCCCGTAAGGTTGTAGCAAGGTAGGAGCTGTGGGATGGAGTTATAGATAGGCGGCTAACGTGCGTGATAGATGTTTCAACTCTACTCCAAGAGAGGCTATGATCATGGTACTCAATCGATGGGGTTCTGGATGTACTGTAGGCCCAAGCGCGGGTCTCTGAGCATGAGCCTATCTCCGAATTCAGGCTGCCCCTCGTCCTTGAACAATATCTCTTCCGTGTAAGCTTTAGCGCTCAACCACTTCAGAACATTGGCGGCTATCCCCCGGGGATTCTTATGAGTGCCATTCCGAAACAAAGTAGCCGGAAGGTAGGTAGTCTCTATCAGAGAGTCGCATGAGCCATCAAAGAAACTTTCCTGACATCAGCCTGTTGTCCAACCGTTCTCAGTGATCATTTCTGTAATGGAAACCCTTCTGAGACGGGCATAGACACTCTGCTTGTTGACCAAACTCAACGCCACCTTAGATTGGTTGGCAGCCCTCATTCTTTTGCTCCTTATTCTGCTGCGGCTCCTGCTGGTATTACTGTGGGCCCTGCGCGAAATGATCAAGGAGATGCCGGAGGAGCAGTCGGAATGCTGAGTTGATTCCCCTTGCTCTTGGTGTTGGCCCTGCTGGTGTTGCTGCTGGGTCTACGGAAGATGTTGGGGGTCCGTCGGGAGCGGTTGGGGCCTTTCTCCGAGCATTGCTGTTCGAGCGCTATTTTTCACTGGAAAAGATTTCATTCCTAGCATTTTGGAACTAAAATTAATATGTCTATGAAGAAGGGAGAATTCTCATATTATTTAGTCTGTCGGCGGTCCTAAGTAGACTGGGCGAGATTTTGAGGCGTGGGGGGGGGGGGGGGCAATTTCATTCCTCATTTTTTTTCTCTCGATGAGATTGGAAATTCAAAGGAAGGGCAAGGTGATCGTGCGCTTGCTTGAGCAAACGCTATCACGCTTAGTAACCCTAACCCACAATGTTTCCGGTGGCCTTTCGGCAGTATAGGTGCTACTTCCACCCTCGTCTCGCCACATGCTTTTATTAAATGGGGAGGATGGAACCACATTTAGGTGGGAGGAGGGTCTGAATAGGTTTATAGAGGAAACGATCTTTCGCTAGGTTCGATTAATGGTGACCTGGCTGCAATCATTCCTGGGGGAGAAAACACTTCATCCGATCACCGGAAAAGTTGTAATATAGCAGGAAAGGAGAACAAAAACAAAAATAAGGATAGGAACTGAGAAAGGAGTGAGGGATGGATAATTTCACTCATCTAGGACGCATAAATGCGAAGCGATAAATTTGTATCAGGTTCAGCAGCATATTCTTCGTCGCTCTTGCGTGCTGTGTTTTGTCGTTCGTGTCTGGGGAAGCAAACAATCTTATATATCTGCTGTCTATATCTTCATTTAGTAAGAAAGTGGAATCTAGTTTATAATATTATAAGTTTAAATTTGATAGAATTATAACCCAATGTTAGCTACTTGCCGAAAACCTTATGCGGTTCTCGAGTAAGTAGCCAATCTCAATGACAGCTCGATAGTGTTTAAATTTGCAACATTCTAAACTAGACTGCCCTCATTGATTAATAGTGATATCCGAGAACCGGATTCAGGGAGCAATACTCAGGTATTTAAATGAAAGATATCGGGCATGTACGAGACCTGCTCTGATTTCTGTATCAATGAAGTGACTGTAATGTACTCACTCTATGGTCACACAGACATATAGTATATTGGATGCCATAGAACGATTTTAACTTCTCTTTATCGTGAATATGTTCTTCATCTATGTCGACCTGTGTTGCCCAGTTGTGTAATTTAGACCTAATTTCTATTACCTTCGGGCATGTGGACTTTTTCTATGCATTTATGTTTTCGTGTAACAACTACCGAATACTAAGTGTACTCACAACCGAGTAATTGTATATCCAGATTGGCCTAACAGAAGACAGCATCTCCCATGATAATTGTTCAACCGATATATAAGTCTATCGCCATGCCGTAGGAAGATTCCCGGCCCCTGTTTGTATGATGAACACACGCCTGAGCAGGGGCAGATGACACGACCAACGTACCGCCTACCACAACAAACTCGCGGAACCCGCGAGTCCCCTCGACGCAGGAGATGACTTGGTATGTTCAGTTTACCTGATTGTGGCGGTTGAAAGTCGCGGAGAGCTCCTTATTTGCCACATCTTTCTGCGGCCGACATGACGAAACGAGGAGGATTGCTGACCAGATAGCATACTCACTCTCAGGCTTTCCCATACCATTATTGAAACCAAGGCGTGCTGAAATAAGGGTAGTGTTCCCTATGGGTTAACCCTAACTGGTACTACGTGAGTGGCGGTGGAGGCGAACGGGTAGTTATGGGGACATTGCCATAACTGTAAGGTTGCATGCAATTAATGAATTAAACAAAAAAAAAAAAGAAAAGAAGTTAGTATAACGAAGTTCGGAAGCGAGTGATATAATATGATTCCAACTCTCGAGGCTGACTGCATGGTGGGATCATAAATGTCGACGGCGGAGAAGAGGCTAATGGCTTATGAAATCTTATTCTTGATTTTGCAGCACGTATTCCTGACCTTAACTGACGTGGTTGGCGCGCTGATGGGACCTATGGTGCCTGTTTTAAGGGCCGGCGGGGGTGAGCACAGATGCAAAACTAGCAGCGACCTGTTGAGCAATGCTACATAATTCTTCCTATAAAGGCTTACATATCGAAACAGTCGATGAGTACATGTATCTCAAGCTGCTACTTGGACTGTTGAAAGTTTGGTCTATGCTGGCATGAGATGAATTGTCATGGTCTTGTTCCCAAGTTCCACAAGCTGGCACAATGCATCCATTGGCTGGAGTGAGCTTTAGAAAGAATTCTAAGCTTAATATTTCGTAGAACACCCCAGTGGAGGGAATTCAACTAGACTCCGGGTGTCGCACACATAGCAACATGTTGATTTCCCTGTAATAATTCCCGTCCTATCGGGTCTGACCGAGCAAAATGTACGCGTGTCTGTAGAAGGAATAAAACGAGCAGCTGACTTACGCTAGCTAGATGGGTGAGTAGTTTGCAGGGATTTATAGAATGTGCAAATCTCTAAAAGCGTAAAAGAAGACGATATTTGGGATAACTCTCGTCCTGCCCTCCCGTTGTCACCTCCGATCGACCTCTCACTCTTCAATCGTCAACCATCCTCTCTTCCTCCCCCCAAATTCTCTCCCACTTCCTTCATTCCCCCACTCACCCATCCTTCTCCTTCCATTCACAACTGCCGTCTTCACTTCTTTATCTTAGCAGATGGTCATCCCCAGAGAACCTAACAGCTTTCATCTTGAACCTACCTGACTCTTTTTGAAACTCGATACCAACAACTACAACCTCTCTCTACTTCCACCCTGGTCTCAACCCGAATCCTTTACTGCAAGTCTTCCGCCACACTCTCGTACCTCGTCCCATCCTAGAATTCTATCAACAGCATCCCGAACCTTAGCCTCTGTGCATAAGATAGCAAGGCCTCTCTCCCCTTGTACCACCGACCATTATCTACCTTTGTGGATAACAAAACACAATGTTTCCCCGTGGTCGTAGACCGCCCACCACCCCCGGTGAGGTACCTCTCCACCGACTCCAGCGTCAGCGCGGTGCTGGGAGAAAACCAGCTGAATTGGCCATACCATTTGTCATTGTGGGTGGCCATGGCTCACCCGTCACACACCGCACCCCATCACCTCCCCCAGACTGGCCCAGCGACATGGAAGATCTAGAACCGCGAACTCCAGTGGCAGAACCTACTCCCAGAACACGAGATCGTATACGTAAGTCCTTCCTTACCTCTTTCTTTGATTTGCAAGCTACTAACATCATTCATTGATTAGCTACTCCTCACCCTGGCGGCTTCTCTCGCCATCGCTCATCGTCAGCCCCTCCTTCGGCGGGCTCGGGGTCAAGGAACATGTACTACTTCGACGATGGAGAAACTACACTGGTTGCGAGTGATCAATCGGATGAAGTATCTTCACTGACACTTGTAGGGGAGTCTTCGTTTTCTGAATATGACTCCGATGACTCTGATAATTCCAATGACGAGGAGTATAGTGATGACGATGATGATGATGACGAGGAGAACGAAAATGATGAAAGTGACAATGATGAAGAAACGGGGACCTACTATATGGAGAGTCCAATCCAAGAGCAATACGCAAGAAGGGAAAGGACCTTCGAGGTAGAGGTAAATTTTCCGTTTCTCTCAACAATGTCTGATACTTGGATTAACTCATACACTTGTATTATGTATAAGGTTTCGGAAGAAGAATACTTCCAAGAAGAACATGAGGAACAGGAAGAAGAAACAAGTGTCGAGTATGTCGAGATTCCTGAGATTAGAGAGGAGGAAATGGTTGATCAAAGTGAATTCGATCTTTTGATGCTGAGCGCTGTCGGAGCTCGTAAAGCTGTAATTATCCTGTCGCACTTAGTCATGGGAGTGTCTTGCTAACCACACGCCGAAACAGCAGGATTACGTGCAGAACGTAATTCAAAGCCCAAATGACAGTGTGATTGAATATGCGGAGGATAGTGATTACAGTATGGAGACTGGGGTCAGAAAAATGCCAAAGGTGAGGACTTCTATCCCTACTGGAGTTCCGTAGATCACCCCAGCATCTAGAGAAACAAAACTAACACCTTAGTCAGGGGCAGCTCAAAGGTTCACAGCAGTCAGTTGATGTTGGTATTGAGGAGAGCCGGTGGCAAGCACCGGTTATTCAAATGGTTGAACAGGTGGCATCAGGCCCAACCCCGTTCCCTGGCACCCCACCTGCACAGGAAAATGAGTTTATCAGAACAAATCCAATCCCTGTGGAAGATGGTGAACGATTCTTGGATTCTCGAGGTTGGTGCCTCCACTTCATGATCTACTTGTCTCCCTCAAGATTCCATCAGCCAATCATGTATTAAAGCTAACGTAAAACCAGTGTACGAAGACTCGCCCACCCCTCACGGGAATTCTCGATGGTTTGGCCGTCCGTTGGAATGGACTCCTGGAAAGAACTTTTTCGAGGGACAGGAGCAATGGGCGTCTGATTGGGAGGGCCGAGCGTTAGGTTCCCCACTCAGTTGTAAAGGAAACCGCCGAGTGGCCGTTGAAGGACCAAAAACGGAACTCCAGCCAGCAGCACAGGTTAAGTGTGAAGACAGTGAGCTTACGCCATATGCATCAGAAATAGAGGAAATTAGAGAGAATACAACAATCGAGTATGGTGAGGCCGAACTGGAACCATACACAGTTGAACCGGAGGTGGAAATACGAGACACAGCCGTTGGGCATAACAAGAACAAGCTTGAACCCTACACACATCAACCAAACATTGACGACCTTGAGCCGTACACGCCCCAACCAGAGGTGAATAGTGAGAACATAACCATTGGTCATGAAGATGATAAGCTTGAGCCATACACGAATGAGCTGAAGTGGTATGAATGGGATAGAAATATTGTGTATGAAGGGGGCGAGCTTATGCCATACACACCTGAACTCCGGATAGATAGACAAAATACAAACATCATCCACAATGAACAAAGCCTTGGACATCCAATGTCCGCAGCTGAGATGATTCTCCGACAGCGCGATGTTCGCCCTTCTCTTAGGCACACTTTATCAACGGCAATAGAGGAGAAGAGTAATAGCGAAACCAACGAAGACCACTATTTAGGTTATTCGCCTGTTTATGCGCCTCAAATAAATGAGCCACTCGTGGGCTCGGAAAAAGTTAATGAGAATTCGTTACATCAACTACCTGCCGTAGGTGACAGTGAAGTTGGTATTGGCTACGGTGGTGGCGACGACAATGATCACATGGATGATGATGATAACGACAGGATGTATGCATTTGGGGCAAAGATATCTTCAGAACACAGAACTACTCCCTTTGAAGGGCGAAAAGTAAGGCACACCGGAAGTCCTAATGTTTTTAATATGCCGCTCCCTCCTCCGTCCGAATTTGACAGCAGCGACGAACGTCCATTATCACCCATCATCAGTGACCACACAAATGCTATTATGACTCTCCCCCCTCCATCCGACTTGAACAGCGGTGACGAATGTCTGTTTTCACCTATGCATACTGGCTGCATAACTACTGCTCAACCTCAGGCCCTGCCTGCTAATAATTGCGGACGACCGCGTCCGCAGTTACCACCGCCACAACATACTTATACTATGCCCGACTATAACGAGAGGAATGCTATCTCTCAAAGTCAGAGGGATAATTCTGACTTCTCATCTCCCCCAACAGTGGGATGGGGTACTTTATTACCCGAAAATTGGAGTAAACTGCCGGAAATGGTAAACGATTATCAGGAAGGGATGGATCAACAATTGTCATGCGATGGGGATGATGAGGAGTCTGAAGACGGCTCCCGTGATTCAATTGCGCACGCCAAATATCCACCCGCCAACATCGCACCTGACTCAGCTGTCGATGGCACCCGGGGCAGTAACCTCAACAATTTAGATCCCCTCCTCGAGGCGGAACAAGGACAGCCTGAAGTGGACAATAGCGCAGTTGAAGAAGGAGAAGAGGGAGAAGAAGAAGAAGCGAGGGTAAATACTAATCGGCGGCTGTTCGCCCTTGTAGACACTACCGTTGATATCCCACAAAACTCGGCGCGTCCTCAAGCTAGGCCATCATGGCTGAAATCAATTCCAAATCCTGCAGAGGTCCTGCAGGCAAAGCTACCCACTCCCGAATACACTGATCTCGGAACATCAATTCCTGCATTCAGAAATTTGAAGAAAAAGGATAGAAAGGTTCCATTGACGAAGCCTATAATCACAAAGCAGCACCGAGTGAGGAAAGCCCATTCCCATAAAAGCATCTTTGGTTTCGATGACCCCATTGTTACGAGATATTTCGAAGACAGAAAGAAAGAGATTCGTGATGCAGCTAGGGAGGCCTCAGCGAAGTTCGAGGCCCCTTGGTTGAAAAGAGTTCAGATTCCTCGTCCGAAACCTTGGTACTTGATGACTTGCATCGATGATGTTCCAGAGACTTTCATGGGCCATATCCCAAAGACTGCAAACTATGAACCTATCAGCACGACACCAGCAAAAATAAATAACAAGCGCTGCGCCTCATGGGACTCCCGCGATGATAACCCTAAGAAACAACGTGTTGATGCAGGTCACCCCGATGAACCTCTCAAACGCCATCACGACATGTTGAACAAGCTCATGAAGAAACGCAAATACAAATCCCCTGGGATTTTCAAGAGTACGGAACGCTTTCCGGATGGAACTCTTGTGCACCCTATTGATACATCACACCGTCTTGACTGCTTTCTTGCGGTTGCAACCGGAAAGGAATTCTGTTTCCCCGCGAAGGAGCAGGAAAGCGCATGGGAGCACTGTGGACAAGAGGCAATGTTTGGGGAATATGGATTGGTTTCAGAGATGGGAATGGGTGAGAAAGCAAGGGAACTTTGGGCTGGGAAATCCGGGAAATAAGGGAAATTAGACCAGGTACCGCAGAGATATTTCTATCTCCTGGGGCGCTGGTATACGGCTGTGGTTAAAGAGTATCATTTTATCATAGTATACAGGCGCTTTCTTTGGAATCCGTGAGTATATTATTAGTTAAAAGAAGATCTCTATCATGAATAAATACTGTTAAAATAAATTGATCGGGTTCTATTTAACCTTTAACTAACTCAGGGTCGTCAAAAGTTAAATATTCTGAGCTGATAAAATAGAAACCTTCAATTCTCACTTCGATCTTGACGAATCGCTACGTCCGCTTTCGTCTCTGCGACCATTTCCTCCCCATTTTAATTTTCAAAGCCTCCATCGCTAGTAACTACTACCACCGCTCAGGTTGAAAGGCAAGGAAGGAGAAATGAGACCAGGCTTTCAGGTTGAAACAAAGAAATAAAAGGTTTCGGGCCGGCATAGCAATTTTGAAGTTTTTCTTTACCCCCCCGCAGCACCCCCGAGGTTCGTGAGCATGTGGAAGACAAGGCATAAGGGATTGGCAGAGTGGTTGTATGACATGAACTTGGTGAATAGTCTAGATCTTTCTGGTTTTCGTGGGTTTCCACGGCATTGGGGGGGGTTTTGATATGGGTCTTCAGGCATGGATGGGGGCAGCGAACTCCGGGTGACATATATAGGTACGAGATGTAGCCTACCATGGGCCCTTGAGAGCTTTCTAGATTTTTCTCCTTTTTTTTTGCCGCTGCTTGAATGGTAAACTTCTTTCAGGTGCGACTTTGCCATTTCGAGTATTACCGATCAATATATCAAGAGGATTAGTTTCGTTGATATGCATAAGAAAATCAGAATCCTTGAAAGCTCGGGATTTTTGAATGTTTTTCTTTACTACGTAGTGCAGAAGCTCTAGCATAAAATCACGATCGGCTAGCGATGCTTCTTTCGCGGGTCGTGAATAGGAACAAATACGGATAGCCGGGAGAGGCTTTTGGTAATGCATGCAATTAATGAATTAAACAAAAAAAAAAAAAAAAAAAAAGGCTTTTGGTAAGACTGTCCCAAACATGGCCTTTGTTTTCCTTGCAATGAGGTTCCAGCTTGTTTCTACAGTATTAAATGATAGATGAAGTGTCTAGAGCTCTTGCGGGCATACTCGAAGCTCCCACAGACAGTTTTCAAAAGGTTCGCCCGTTGGCGGGTCGTGTTGTATTCTTTATCACCACTCATCACTCGGTCTTGGCAGAAATCACTATCCAGGTGTACAGAGAACGACAACACGCCAGAACCACCATGCACCGCCGGAAACAACAGAACGATTATGTTTTTGTAACAAGTGATGCCTGCCATTAAGAAACACACCGAAGAAAATTCATTCGCCGCTTGCAGATCAGTCGGCGGCACGATGATTCAAAAGCCGTTCACATCCCCGCTTTCGTCCCACTTCCTAACTGGAAAAAACAGAATATTTCTACTCCTCTAGGTTGTTGAGATCCCCTACCAACAACCATTTACTTTGAGCCAGCTTCCGGCTAGTCGAACTACCCCTCCCCTCCGTCAGCTAGTTGCTATCCAGCGTACTCCTTTAAAATTCTCGTTCCGCTCAAACACTGCAAAGGGAGTTGAGGTTAATCCCTCCACTATTCCGCCGACATCCAGTTCTCCGATCTCCAGCATCAGTCACAACACAATGTTCACCGGCGACTCTCTCCTCCCCGATCACGACGTCCTCTGTGGCTTCAAGGTTTTAGTAGACCCGCATCGGGAACGACAGACGTTCCGCATGATATTCAGGCGGCATTTGGCCTGCATGCGCCTGCTCCTCACCGTCAGGGCGTTCATCAATGCCGAGTATGTAACATTTCTCAGGTTTCATTCCATCATTAATACTATCACATATGAGGGAGCTATAATTACGGATAATGAGTTCGATATTTATCCGGATTATGTGCCGTTAGGAGGGGGGCTAGTAGTCCTGGTGAATTATAGCCCGAACGGGACCGATTTGGTGGGGTATGAGACGAGCAGGTAGGCTGGTGGGGGGACGTTCTGGCTACCGGCGGTGGAGTTCTTGTGTTGCTTGAGGAGCGTAGTGAGGAGTGGGAGGAAGGGGAGAAGATTGAATGTGATTTGGAGTGATAGCTACTCTAGAGTCAGTTATGAAGACAGGTTAGAATTTGAAAATCTTTTATAAAAATCTTTTAATCAAACATCTTGCACTGGTCTTGGAGATGCCAGGGGTAGTGTGCATATACTGCGTTGAAGTCGGCACGAAGCTATCAATGTCACACTAGGCACTCGGGTAACGGGCATCTCGTAGGAAGATTGATTTCGGCTTATAGAAGCGCAGAATTAGTACAGTCTCGAATGTTCCGATCCCGGAAGCTATGGATATTGCGGGCCCAACCTTTTATGATTCCATCTACGAGTTACAGATCTAGGGGCATGGGGGATTTTGTATCATAGGTGTTAAAATACGCCGTGATAAACAAGGAGGAAGACGTGTTCATTTCCCGAGCCATGAGTTCAGCTGTTCCAACAACGACAGCCCCCCATCCTTCCTACCATCCTCCCCTCCCCCAAAAATAGACGTCACACGAAAACAGGTTAAATCAGAAAGAGCAAACACCAAACTGCACAATGGATGATGGCTCTAGCAGAGAAATCGCTTTCAGAACTTAGCGGGACTCTATGTAACCAGGTCTTCAGGGTTAGGGTTTAGATATTGTGGTCTACAAAAACAAAATACCAAACTGACTCATTTTGGAGGTCAAATTGAACCTTTGGGCGAACATTTTTGGGGGCACCTGTCAGAGGTGGGGGCTATGAAAGGTTGGACAGGCTGTATGACTGGGGAGTATTCGGAATTACTCTAGCTTGTGCGAATATTGGATAAATCTTTCGCAACTTTCAAAACCCTGGATGCAAAAATAGCCCTGTTTCTCTGTTTCCTTGTCCGCTAAAACAGGGTACGCGTAAGTTAGAATCGAGCCGCATCTCTTATATATCCTATCTCCTATCTCTTACAATATAAAAGGTAAGGGCGAAAAGCAATTTTGCAGACGATGGCGGGTACATGCTGATTTACCAAAAACCTAATGAAAGGAAGAAAAGAAGATGGAAATAACCATTTCCATCCGTCTCAGATTTGTTAAACGGATCCGGCTAGAAGCCTGCTGAAAACAGCTGATGAGATATTGAGCCGTTGTAAAGGGAGGGAAGATTGACTCCAGGGCGTCACTCCCCTGTGAGATTCCAATACCCCTATCGGCGAGACAGTAAGACTCAGACCGATGAACGTATATATCTCCCCGAGTACAGATTTTGCATCGATCATAGGGTCCCAAATAATAATTTGAGACTTGAGGCAGGCCAACAAACGAACCTCCAGCAGACTTTCTAGAGGTTAGAAAGGCTAACCAACACTGAGCAGGGACAACTAATAAATCAACTATAATTCCAAGTTTAAGGTCATGGATCCAGTTATTGTTACCAGAAACATATTTAATTTCTGTACTGTCAGACATAGGCCTAATGATAACCAAATTTATTCGCAGCTAAACCTCTATGCCAATGACCGATTTACTAATTCACACGGTATAGGTTTGCGGTGGTAATACCGGGGTACCTGTAGTAAATGCGGAAAAAGAAAACCGAGGCATATCAACAGAAAGAGAATGCCACCAACAAAAGAAACAGAAAACTTTCACATCGTCGTAACTACCTCCTCCAATCTTTTTTCAACCTGCGAGTTCCATTCGCTCGCACATCTTTCCGCATTCAATACTGTCATTTCTGCGACTTTCAGCTCCTCTAAAAGTGCTATCGGTATCCCCTGTCTATCCCCATCCCCTCCAATCTCGGATTGCACATTTCCAAACCCCGCCAACATCCTTAGTACTTTCTTTTGAGCCTGAAGTAACTCTGTCATCAACTCGATCGTTTTTTCTCGCAGCCCCCACACTGGCCTCATGTTGAACTTCGACTTTATTATCGCTTCTGCCTCCCTTCCCAGTACTCCCCACATCTGGAGTAGAGCTCCAAGCTGCTTCTCCACCTCGTAGATTTTGACTTGCAGGACTACAATGTGGTTCTCGGAGCGATCTTGGGCGTCAAACAAGACACTTAGACTGGCCAGGGCCGCTGTGGTTTGGAGGCCGTATAGGGTAGGGTCAGATTCCGTTGCGCAGCGTACATCATCCGTTCGCCTGAGGCACTGAATTTGTGGTTCAAGTGTGGCAAGTTTCTCCTCATACTGTTGAAGTGTATTACGGAGTTGAGTGAGATTGTGGCGGGTGATGGCGAGATCCCAGAGACTATGGGTAGGAATGAGGGGGATGTTCATGTTGGTTCCTGTGGTTATCAATGTGGTTGTATATATTTTCGAAGATTGCCTGTGGTGGTTTATATAAGCGGAAGCCTGTACCACCCCTTTTTTCGTGGGTGCAAAACCTATTCCTGCAGGAGAGCTTGGCTAAATTCTTCCTGTAGCCTTGAAAAACCAATCATCACGAATCTGGAACATAACGGGGCAGCACCTCTCTTATACACCCTGAACACACACAGGACCATTCTTGATATGAGACTTTCAATGAGAGCTCTACCCCTCTATCGACGAATACATATTTCAAGCAAACACCCCAGTCATGCGGTCGTACCTAGCCACAGCAACTGGTGACTTGAAGAGATTCAACCGAGTCCCAAAATCGAGGATAATCTCGGACCTTGCATTCAATGGTTACCGCGCTGCATGTTTGTTTTTGGCGCGTTGGAGATCTAGCTTGCCTTATACACGTGTACAGGTAACGTTGTAATAATGCATAATAGTTCACTTCTTTCTTTAATTAACCTGAATATTAATCCGCGAGACGTACGTAGCTGCCTCTCCGGCTGATGTATTCCTCCCTGAGTAAATACTGAATTACATGTATTGATACTCTATGTGTCGGCGTAGTAAGATGAAAACGTTAGGTTGGTTCCAGGTGACAGGGCAACTTGAATAGAGCTGGTGAAGGTCCAGTAAGAGGGTTGGACAGGACCGGACAAAAAAGGTTGGCCGACCGCGAAGGCAAGGCGAAGGCAAGGCAGTTGAGGGTTATGGACCTGTAGCTGTTGTTATCAATGCTCGAGTATAATAAATTCCCATACCACACGCTTCAGTTGTGTTGCGGCTATATGATTCTCAACTGCGATGCATCAACGTCCATGATGCACTGTGTGGGCATCCATCGATGGTGAAGAACTACTTAAAGATAGGTAGTAGGATAAGAATGAAGAATACTCGTGCGGGGTGAGCGTTTGACAGCACAAGTATCCAATCAGCGGCTCTTGATGCAATATTCCGAGATGACTAACAGGGCCTCGCTGTTTCGTAATCCCTGCCAAAGCCGATGATTCTAACTCTAGAGATATAGATGTATTCCAGCGTGAGTAGATGTATCCTAGCTCGTTTATAGAGTTCAGGGCACAGTAGCCTGATAAAGCTCAAGCATCAAGCCACAACTACTTCCCCGGTAACTGCAGATCTCGGTCCAACCCCGTGCCCCGAGGCGTATGTTATTCCACTTCGAGACTGTAGGTGTACTCGAACCCTAGCCTGCATACATCAGATAGGACCCCTGGGCAGGAACGATGGAACTGGGTAAAGTTATCCGAGAATCCCTGACATGAGACGAGACAAGCTTTTCAAATCTGTTGTGCGGGGTAGGTTCGGCCTTCCCAGTTGACGTTCAAGGCGCATCGTGAATTCAGAAGCACTGCAATGCGGTCGGAGGGGAAAAGTGATTCTGTCGACGCAGCTAAACAGACCAGGGTGACGGGGCATGAGACCACAGGTGGTGTGTGTGACGGAGGAGAAGTCAGAACGGTCACGGTGTCCATGTCATTTAGGTGTGTCTACGACTGTTTCTTGTGTCTGTGCCTTGCTCAAGCTCTCCGTCTTTTCAACTTCCAGCTTTGTTTTCGTCTGTTGATCTGAGGCCGAGCTCTCCCCTGCAGGCTACGATTCACGCAGAATCCATATGTCTGTACTTCTCTTTCTGTTCAAAAGTGCAGTGGAAATACTACACACCACTCCACGATCCTTGATGTGTAGCGACCGAGGCACAAACCTGGAGATAAAGATGGGATGATTCCTCGGCACTGGGGAATTGGGAAGAAGGTGGTTCTGCTGAACCTGAGTAGACAAGTGCCATCCCTCTTGTCGGTGTTTTGGTTGGTTGTATGTCCAGATCTAGGCTGACCGAGCTAGAAGACCTCCGCGACTCCGAATATGACTGTCACACTGCAAGGCCAAGTTCATGTATTAAACGTGTGGCATCAGGGCACCTCTCGATTTGGCACACAGATATGAGGGCGGTAGGCACTTACCACTTGTAGCTGCGGTCACTGGGGGAAGAGCTCCATTCCTTATCGTTCGACTTCACCTAACCCACCTACCTCTTGAGAGCCAGCGAGAAACCATTTTGCGCCCAAAGTTGATACGATTTCACCTAACCCACCTACTTTTTAAGAGCCAGTAAGAAACCATTTTACACCCAAGGCTGATACGCACCGCTATAAAGACTCAACGCTCACACCTACCAGCCAGCAACACATACAACACACAAGACTCCCTCGTTCACTACCTATTTCACATCAACAATAATATTCCAAAGGTAGGTCATAGAGAACCTTGAACAATATTTTGGCTTCCCTTCTCCACAAAACATTAGTGTGTTTGAATAATTTGTTTCACGTGAAGAAGCAAATAAGACATATACTAATAGTCGTTAAAGGAATATTTGTCTCCAAAATGTCGACAAACTGGGCAATTGAAAACACGCCTCATCTTCCTTCCAACCAGCGCTACTCCTGGATGGAGGTTCGTGGTGTCTGGAGACGTGCTGTCGTCCCGTTTGACCGAAGCACTCTCCTCCGTCCTGGTAACTAACATTGCTCCGTTCGGCGACGAACATTCATCCTAAACATATCACGAATAAATGTCTCCCAAATATATACTAACATGTAAATATATTTTTAGCTACCCATGAGCTTCCGGACATCCCTGGCGGCCGCACTGAACGTTTCCAGCCTCAATACCACTCCAGGGAATTCCTCAACGTGCATGCAATCATCCAATACCACTTTGACTGTTCCTGGTTCAGTGTTTATGCTACCAGCACGCCTCCTGGATATGTCGAAACTGATTGGGTCTCCATCATCCGCGAGGTCAACCGACCCCCGCAATACATCGACCTCTCTGACTCGGACGCCTCAGACGCCGGCGATCATAGTATCAGATGCCTACTCTGCACCCGTCGTCAACTTCGCGTCAACTTTGTGGGCTGCACCCATGGGATGTGCAAGTCCTGTGTCAAGAAGTTGTATTGGTCCAGGTGTGCGGATTTTGATCACTGGCCGGAGGGGATCAGATGCCCGTGGTGCAGGCATGAAGTGACGGAGTTGGATGTTGGTGGGGGGGAGATCGATAGGGTGCCGACTTATATACTGTATGTCAGTATGCGGGCACTCAAGAGGCTCGAGAACGCGAAGATTCATAGGATCGTTCCAGTACATATGAGAGAGTGGGCGTTAGAAGCGTTTGTATTCCTTCTCCCATTATTGTGTCTTTATTGATGCTAATTTTAAAGTAGTGCCTTTAAGTTTTCGCTCCCGAAACACCGTTACATGTTCGAGAACCATGATCACGATGCGCAGGAGTAAGAGGTACCTTCCTGACGTAGGAGTTATCGAGGCGGAAGTTGGAGTAGGGCAGAGATATCAAAGGTTTACAGGAATGATAGAGTACGGAATATCGTTACAGGAATGATAGGGTACGGAATATCGTTACAGGCATGGGGGTGTGGTCTAGGATGGGGTAACTGGTGGTAGGATGGGCAGAGTGTTATACAATCTGAAAGATCTTTTAGGATGGAAGCGCATGATAGGATGGAAATACTGTACAGATCGGGAAACCGAAAGACATGTACGGTCCTCAACTATAGGATTTGGCTAACTATCCTGTCTTTTACGATATCATAAGTAGCTACAAAGTTGAATAAAGCTACGTGTTCTTGTTTTTTTAGGGTGATTGTTTACGCCGTGTAAGTATGATACGAAATCTTTTTCTCGTATATCTCGACTTCAATGTTCTCCTCGCACGGCATTTAGTTTCCTAGTTATATTTACATACGCTATATGTATATACCCAAAGTCTTTCGGAGTCGGATTTTCACGAGACTCACATCTCTCTGGATTTACCGAACAATTTACTTTGAGATTTTATACCTGTAACTGTAAATCTCTTTCTAGATACAGCGAATTTTCTACCTCGTACGCCACTTAATTTTTTCCACTGTCCATTATCGGCCACTTCAGCCTCAACACTTTCTTTATCGCCGATACGATAAGATACGATAAGATAAGATAGCCACACCAAGATCTCAACGGCGGGTCGGTTTGACATTGGAATTCCAGCATTTACTGTGCTACTACAACCTACAACCGGGCTCACATCTGAAGGCTGGAGGTTTGAAATCTACATGTACACAATGTTGCCGCGTTTTTTGGGGTTTTTGACCCCTGATTTTTGAGACCTTCCCGCCCTCAACCGTCCAACCTTTCTTTAATTAGCTAAACTTATTTATTAGATCCTAATGGTATAAATTTATCTTTGTTTAAGAATTATTCCGAGACGCATTGTCGCTCGATTCCTTCACTGGTGAGATCAGAACGACAGCCTAGTGCGCCAATCACACAATCTCACTCGGCATTGGGCAAATCACGGCGTAGCACTCGCGTCATATGATATCACTCGAGTCCCTATTGTTACACCAAGACAGTTTAGCGCATCCCTGCTGGTGGTAAGGATGCTACCGTATTCCCGCCGCAAAAAGAAGTGTAAAGGGAAAAGGTGAGGAGGGTTTTGCGCGGTTGGAATAACGAATCCTATAATTATCGATATCGCTTTCAAAAAAAAGAAGGAAAAAAGCGAATGTGCGGTGATCGTTTTTCACACAATACCAAATCATTGATTGCAAAGGAGGCGGTATAACTTAAGCGGTCGTGACCACGCTGAGATCTTCTCCATCGGAGTTTTATTTCCTACCCAATTCCAGAATTTTCAATAACTAAGATGTATGTTGTTTTAGTGATCTTTCAACCTGTTTGGGGCGGAGCCACGGGGGGTGTCTTACACTCGGGTGTCTGCAGATTAAGTATGTATAGAATCTGTCTCAAAGGAAGTCCTTCCCGGGTACTGTTTGGGGAAATAGCCAGTGCTAAGCAATAATTCTGTAGCGTTTATACTGATGATATTGTAAACCGGATTCCCTTGACTTGATGGTTTGATGATGCCCTCAAGTCTTCGGAGAATCCTGCCCTATTTATACATGTTGGAACCTATGCCAAGGCCCGCTTTCTAATACTAACTGATACAACGATAATAGAATAAGATGATGCTCCCGAAGATAACCCAGATAGAAAAGCGCCCCCGCATAGTTCCGTCCCCCATTCTAATTCCGACACGTAACCATGAACCTTGCAGTTGCCAGTCATCGGGCTGTACCATACTATTATCCTAGACCTACTTCCCTAAGTAGAACAGCCTACAGCCGTAAGCCCCGCTTCCTATTCTATTTCGGGTGAGACACCCAATAATAAGCGTGCCGTCATGATAGTATAATACTAGTGTGGTGACACCGCGTGCCCCCACACTACCCGATACCTTTCTATGCTTGTCCTTTCGTTACCCGACCGTCCTCGCATCACAGCCCGTCACTCGTATTCCAGCGCTGTCCTAAGTCTCTGGGACAGCGCTCCGTAGTTCCTGTAACACTACTCCCCCTTCCTAGACGTCGCCCTCGACTGTTAAAACCCTTCTATGATGAAAACCCTGTGGGAAAAGTCATAGAGTGGGCAAAGGTATCGAGCTTAGTCCCGCCTGTTCCGTTGTGGTTTGTGAGCCCGTTCGTCATCAATCGCTGGCCCTCGACTTCGCGTATGGGGTCGTACGTTCGAGGTTGGCTGGAAGTTCTCATCCGCTAATGCCTCTTGTGGCTCGGGTGTTGCTAGTCGTTTTCGTATGTTTTGTTGCCTAGTAGGATCTGGGTCCTCACGATAGGGCCGCAGCAGCATCTCGTGGAATACGTCATGAACCTTCCATTCTACCGGAAGTTCAAGGCGGTAAGCCCGATTGCCTATCACCGCTGAGATCGTGAACGGTCCTGTGAATTTGTCTGACCACTTGGAGTATCCTCCTAGGTTCCGAGTATCCAGCAAGACTTTCTGACCAATAGTGAACCGCTGTACTGCTGGTCCTGGTTTTGACGCCATCCTGTCGAAAGTCTTCTGTAGCGTATCTCTCGCTAACTCATGAGCCGTGAGGATCTCGTCCAAGTAGTTGTTCCCGTTGGCATCTAAACGTTCGATCTCCGCATCCGTAGGCCAGTCCGTCCGAGGGTGGAAGCCATAGTTGCAGTAGAACGGTGATTGTCCCGTCGACGTGTGCTTCGCGTTATTATAGGCGTATTCGCAGATAGGCAACAGGTCCTTCCACTTCTTGCCTGTTCCTGCCGTGTATGCCCGGATATATCCTTCCATGTGCTGGTTGGTCAGTTCTGTCTGGCCATCGGTCTGCGGGTGGAATGATGTTGAGAGTCTTCTACGAATTCCCAATCTTTCCGTGATTGCTGTGCAGAATGCTGATACGAACTGTGTCCCTCTATCAGAGACGATGCTCCTAGGAAGTCCGTGGAAACGCCAGATGTCTTTGACAAATGCGTTAGCGGTTTGTTCCGCGTTGATTCCCGTCATTGGAATGAGGTGAGCCATTTTTGTAAAACGGTCCACGACTACCAATACGTTACGGAATCCTGACTTCTCCTTTGGCATTTCTACTACGAAATCCATTGAGATATCAGTCCAAGGTGTGGTGGCTAACTCTAGGGGTTGAGGGAGTGACAAGTGTCTCCGACGTTGCTTGGCTCTCTGGCATACGTCGCAAGTCTTGACGAAGTTGGCTACATCCGTGGACATTCCTGGCCACCAGTAGTTCCTATCGATCAACTCAAGGGTTTTATCCCTTCCTAGATGCCCCGCTACGGGTCGATCATGATGTTCTTCGATGACCTGCTTGACCGCGTAGCCCGGTACTACCCATCGACCATCGTGGATGGGGTCATTCGAATCGGGACTCCATTCAGCGGCAGGCTCTACCTTTACGATAGCAGCCTCCGGTGGTCCGAAGATCTCAAGGTTTGAGTCAGGGAGGTGTTCATCCGGAACCATCCTCCGAACCCATCGTCTTTCCTGTTCATACCAACCCTGTAGTAGCTGAGGCAGCTCTACGCTCGGTATGTCGTACCACTGATCCAACTGATTCCATTCCTCTTCGGGGTTGCCAATCATCTCAGACCCAGTTTCTACGCTGGTCCGTGATTTTCTGACAAACTGTTCTGCGTTGAGTAGCTGTTTTACGGGCTGCTCACGCATTACTCCCCCTTCCATTGCGAACTCCGGACGCCTTGTGAGTGCATCTGGCTTGCCGTTCTTTTCGCCTGGTCGGTAATAGATCTTGAAGCGAAAAGGTGCTATCTTCTCGGCCCATCTGGCTTGTCTTCTCGACGACTTCTTGGTCGTTGTGAAATACTGCAGGTTTTGGTGATCCGAATGTATCTGGATAGAGATGTCCGTCCCTTCCAGCCAATGTCTCCAAGTCAGGAGTGCAGAAACTATTGCGAGCATCTCCTTGTCATAGATCTCATAGTTGACTTCTGCCTCATTGAACTTGCGAGAGTGGTAAGCTACCGGATGTAGAATACCGTCCTCGAACACCTGAGAGAGTACTGCGGCCTCAGCCCAGTCACTCGCGTCAGTTTCCACGATTGCTTCGCGGTGTTCGTCATAGTGTCGGAGTATTGGAGCGGACGTAAATCTCCCCTTGAGCTCGTCGAACGCATCTTGCTGTTCCCTGCCCCATTCCCATACGGCACCTTTCTTCAGGAGATCGGTCATAGGTCTGCAAACCTCAGAGTATCTGTGGATAAACCGTCTTAGGAAATTGGCGAAACCGAGGAAGCACTGAAGTTCCTTGACCTTGGTTGGGGCTAACCAACCCTCGATCGCTTGGACTTTCTTCGGTGATACACGATTCCCTTTTCCTGATAGTATGAATCCCAGAATTCTATTTCCTGTTGATACCATTCCGTCTTCTCGAGGTTTCCGTATAGATGGTGTCGTCGCAGTCGCTCCAAAACCTCCCGTACAAGAGCAGTATGCTCTTCTCTAGTCTTTGAATACATTAAGATGTCATCCAAGTAGACTACTACGCCTCGATCTAGCAGATCTTTGAATATGGTATTGACCATGACCTGAAACGACGCAGGAGCATTGGTCAAGCCGAAAGGCATTACCCTATATTCGAAGAGGCCGTATTTTGTTCGGAAAGCGGTTTTCCATTCTTCGCCCTTAGCAATCCTAATCAGATTATAGCCATTTTTCAGGTCTATTTTCGTGAATTAGAGTGCTCCTTTCGTTGCGTCGGCCAGCTCATTCATGAGCGGCAGTGGGTAACGGTTCTTGATCGTGATCCCATTCAAGCCACGAAAGTCGACACATAGCCGAAGCTTGCCGTTAGCTTTCGGAACGAACAGGACGGGTGCTGCTGCTGGGCTAGTGGAGGGGACTATTTTGCCAGAGGGCAAATTCTCGTCCATATATTCCCG